GACATGGTTAGCCTATAGCCATGCCTACAAATGCGGGTTTGGCAATAAATATATGTTTTAAATATAATTTGATCCTAATTTTTAGAGAATATATAATCTTTAACATGGAGATCATGAAAATGAAAAAATACATAAATTTTGAAAATTAAAAATAATAATTATATTAAGAAAGCATTTGCACCGTTTGCATCCATCTTTAAGATTGATCCTTTATACCTCCGAACTGCATATTGTACAAATGCAGTCCAGCCCGCATGAAACAATTGTTCAAAGAATAATCACCAATGGATCATGTGAAAATCATACTCATAGAGAAAAGAAAATAACAGAGGCAGAGGAAGAATCACCCACTGAAAAATCTTTTCATTCTCTAAGCCAATATTACCAATGCAGACAGGAAGAGAGTGCCAATTTCAATTGGAGCCGAAGACAATGAATTGGGGGTGAGGTTCAAATACTTGGATTGGCTTTCACAGATTGTTTGGTTTAAGGCTTCTCTTACTCTCTTTATGCACATAAGTTTGATTAGATTGTTGTTTTCATTCCCATCACTAACACCACCACACTAATACTTTCAAAAAGTTAATTCCTAATCTATTTAAAAAAATGGATAGGGTCAGTCTTCCCCACTGGATTACACCAAAAAAAAAAAACAGGCCACTATTTTATAATAATCATGTATACTATGCTTCTAAGGGAACATAGTTTACTTTTACTCTCTTTGTCCGATAACAAACTTGGGAGGATGCTCTCAATCTAAAATTTTGGTATCCACTTGGATGATTACTCTAAAATAATAAAAAAAAAATTGAAATTTGAGTTTTATAACACTTAGATCTCAGCCTCTAAAAATTGGACGGTTCCTATTCAATCTTGAGATATTATTTTTTTCGAGTGCTTTGACGATACAATGAAAAAAAATATTTATTGATGTTAATCTATGTATTTAAGAGGTTATGTCCCCAAAACTTGGGTTTCTAAAACTAATCCTAGGTAGAGTGTTACGCAAGGAAATAAATAGATAGTATACCCCAAAGGGAGTAGAATATATTTTAGCTTTTTATAAGTTTAGATTTGAGTTTTGGTTACTATACTGAGGTTCATTTTTATAAAAAGGTCTCCTTTTTGGAAGACATAAAAGAAATCTTTTTTAAAGCAAAAGAAATCACATTATATAAAAACATCTTGTTTTTTTTCGTATCTAGAGACCATTTACTTTTTATACAAGGAGGTTACAATTATTCATTTTCATTAGATGTCAAATTAGATAACTTGAGGTAAGTCACAAACTCCGGAGAAAAAAAAAAAATTAGAACTTTGTGTCTAATTAATGACACTCTTCCAACCGCGCATTTAAAAATCTAAAGGACAAGAATATTTGTAACTTCCTTATACAAAAAGTAAACAATCTCTTTATATACACAATCCGCCAACAATTAGCTTGTATATCCAATTGTTATTCTAAATATTTGTTAATGTAATTGTTGTATATCCCCAATTGTTATTCTTATTATTTGTTAATGTAATTGTTGTATTTCATGGTAATTCAATGGGAAGATAAGCCCCTACCCCTACTTGTTTTTTCAAGTAGATTAGAAATTAGTTTTTGTAAAGTATTAATGGGGGTGGTGGTAGTGGTGGGAATGAAAATTACGACACTCAAACCCCTTTCCCAATAAAATTGTTATAGATTTTGTGCCGTTGCTTTGGAGTTTACTTTGGATATTGGAGGAAACATACCACGTCATCGTGTTTAAAAAAAATCTAAGCAAACTTTTGACAAGGCGATTAGATGATTCCAAATTATTATTTTTTACTGTCTAAATATTTGTAAATTATATTGCAAAATTATTTTTCAATGACTTTATTGTATCCTTGAAATAAAATAAAAAAATATATGACAATTTATTTTTTATACAAGAATGTCACGATCATTATTGACATTTAGATTTGAAATTGGGTACTTGAATATGTGTCATTATTTGAGAACGAACTCCAAAATAAAATTTTATAAATTTTGTTATATATTTTCATTTATTGAATATCACATCTAGAGGCTAAAAGTAATTATGGCCTCCTTTTACCAAAAGTCTCATATACAATCTCATGAAATACTCACACAATTACATATGTATCTCATTCTTTTACTATATTTTTTTGAGTCAAATCGAAAATATTCACTAACTAATAAATTTGTTTAATAAGTTAGGCCCTATTTTTTATCTATAAATTTTATTTACTATAACCGATTTCATACCCTTTTTTGACTTCTAGAAAAGCAGCTTCAATATTTCAAAAAATGATGGGTTCAAGGCCAGAGGTTACTCCCTAGCCATTCATTAATAAAATCCATGATCATGTTCTTAAATTACTAATAACTTCACCGTGTTTTATAAAGAAACGTCATCTCAACTAGCACATAGGAGTGCATAGTCCCTAAGTGTGTTGGGACTAGCAAAGGCTCAGGCAACCTGGTCTGCCCCGGTTAGCTTGACCCTAAAAAGCTAGGGGCTACAGCGTGGCCCAAGGGCCACCCAAGGGGCACAATAGGTTTGGTGTAGCCCGGCCTCGTTGAGCATAAGTTTTTCTTTAGTTTTTTTCTATATTTTCTTGAAGTGTATTAGGACCAGCCCAACTCGAACATCGCCAAGGCTTACCCTAGGCTATGGCCTATTTGGCCCAATTAGGGTGATGCTGGGCTAGGGCTAGGGTTGACCCAATAGGGACTAGACCGGTTCTCAAGTATCTTGGTAGGTAGCCAAACCAATACTCTCATAGGATGGATTGATGGAGAATGATAGAATCAACTGTATTGCCGCATAATCAAGTACTCAAATCTTGCTTTATCAACTTAGTTCAAGCGACCAGGTAATTCCCATAAGATTAAGTTTCAAATATTATTTTTTATTTTAAATTATTTTAATACTTTTAAACCTAGGGGATTGGCCAATTTGATAGCTAATTTCGAGTTTTAAAACATTAGAGATAAAAGATGGTAAAATCACATACATTTTGACTATACTTTTATTTTTAATCAGTCTTTTAAACCAACAAATTTTCAATCCAATGTTGATCCATATGGGAATGGTTCAGATCGAACTGATTCCAAAAGGTAAGATTCTCAACCCAACTCCTCTGAAATACCCTCTTATATATTTTTGTCTTGTTCTTTTTTTAATTTTATCTACAATATTTTTAGGTCTTTTTTAAATCTCCACCCTATAGACCTTTACTTTAATTTTTATTTTCTTTTATTTATTTTTAATATACCAACTCGAACTGATTCATACCTGGTATTGGTTGTTGATCCAGCAATCCGACAAGGATTTGTGGGTGCATGATCCGCCCAGTTGATCCAAGTTTTGAAACACTGGTTTTAAAGAAATCTATCGAATTGGTTTCGCTAAAATTTGCACTCAAACTTTGGATTTAAGAAAATATTAAGAAAACGAGGAAATTTTACGGATTACAAAAATTTTTCCTTTCTTTCTATATTAAATTAGGACTTCGAATGAAAATTTAGAGTTCTGACACTTGGCACCCTTACCAATTCTAAGGAGAGCCATTCTTTGGGAAATCCTATGTATCTTATTCGATCATTTGTAAGAGTATGAAACCTACCATCTACGGTCTATTTTTGAATCTCTCGTATCCACTTATTTTTCCCGACAGCACCGCTCACTTTAAGGACAATGTTGAGTACGAGTACCCAAATACACGCCGGTCGCTGTTATGGAGCATAAAACATTTGGCGCTTGGGTAGGTGTTAGTTAGGGAGGGAGTTTAGGGACGGTAGCACATGGTTCAGCGTTCAAGACTTCAAAATGTGCCCTTGAAATTGTAAAGAATGATTAATGGACTATAAATCTCCCTATGGACTCGTATCAAACGTCACCCTCCTGGAGGAATATGAAGTCCACCAATAGTTTAGAGGTGTATATTGTACAAGTGCCACCATAGGGAAATGACATTGTGCCTGATCTGTCAAATTTTCAAATTCGGAAGTCCGAACACAGTGCTGCTTGTTTTGTTTCAAACATGATTCTAAGTACGATCTCCATCCAATCTCAACAATCAACAGTTGAGGAACACCATCAAAGTATGTCCCGAAACGAAACAGGTATCATATTGTACTCTTTTGTTGCGTAAATGGGATCGTAACCTTGAGTTTGCTCTCAGGTACAATCTCCACTGTCCAATTACTAAAATGCTAAAATTGTTTTAGACGAGGTCCTTAGTGTACGAAAAATCAAGAGGTTCAAATTTTAACTGTCTTGTTAGATTGGAATTAGCAAGTGGCCGTTTTTGTTCCAATCGGTTTTAGTGAACCGGTCGGGTATTTTTAAAAATTTAAAAAAATTTATATAAAATCTTAAAAAATAAGAGATTTTGTTTTTAATGCATTTTTAGTGGTTTTCATCACTCGGTAAAGATTGGAAACTGTTGTTGGCCAGTAATATTTATCTTTATATTTTCCTTTCTTTTTTTGAAAATTTTTAAAAATACTTTAAGACACTAATTGATTCTTTAAAATCCATTTTTCATTAATTTTCAATTTTATTTGGATATAATTTGTTTAATCATACTTTAAATATATTTTTTATATATTATTAAATTTTATTTTATATTTAATTTATTTATTTTTTTATAGTTTTTTAGTTATATAGAGAATTATCTAATTGCCCCAATTGAACCTACCGATTAGGCGAGCGAGCGTTAACGTCTTCTGGCCCCATGTCCGATTACCGGTTCAAATTCGATTTTTGCTGCTATGGAGCTCCTATTAACTATAATCGCCAGCATTCCAAAAGCTCAAATTTCGTGAAGGCTGCTTGACCGAAGCAGTCAAACACTCATACACGATACACGTGGAAAGTTCTCACATACATGCACATTTCCACCGTTGCCTTAGAATTAGAAAAAAACAAATAGTGACCCCAGTATTTATTAATACGGTGTGGCTTCGTGGCGACCGACTTCATTCATAATCCTAAGCCTAAGCAGGCGACCGGCCATTGTTTGGCAAAGTGGGTCTTAACCCTAATCTTCTCGCTCATTCGCTCACTCTAATTCTCTTTCTCTCTCTAAAATAATCATACTTTTCGTTTTGTCCTGCACCACTTTCCCTATAAATCCATCTTCCATTCCCCTTGTTTCCATTCTCATTCTTCTCTCTTTCTCTCTGTAAAACACCAACCCTTGGAATTCTGCTCTTTCTCTCTCTAACACTAACTCCTTTACACACATGGGTTTTCCTTCAGTGAGCTATGACATAACAATCTCGAAGCCTCTCTTACACCTGCTGTATCTAATGGCGTATATCAGGTTAAAAATCTCATGGGTCCTCTTCCGAATTGGTCTCGCAGATGATTGGGAAGAGGATCTCTCTCTTAACGACATCTACCCTAACATTCCTCCAACCCCCACTTCTCATCGTCGATTTTGCCCCCCTTCTGATTTGATAAAATCTAAGCTTGCGGTGGTTGAATATGAAGAAAAAGATGAAGAATCAGACTGTGTAGTTTGTTTGAATTCTTTGGAGAGAGGGCAAAAAGTGAGAGAGCTTTGCAATTGCAAGCATGTGTTTCATAGAGTCTGTCTGGATAAATGGGTAGATCTAGGGCAAACTACTTGCCCACTGTGTAGATCCTCTCTCTTGCCTGCCATTACAGGGGAGAGAAAGGACTCATGGTTAGTGGATAGAATTTCTTATCTTTTTGGTGAGGATTTAGGAATAGAGGGATATTTGGAAGCTTGAGAATAAGGGTTTGTGAGAAGTGTGTACATAGATAAGTGAGAGATGGGGGATTCATATTTCTTTTACAGGATTTTCAGATTGTGGGTTTATTGCTCATTTCATTTCAAAATACAAATTTCCACGTTTACTATTCATATCCGCTTTGTGCCATGAATCACATACAGTCTCCTATGCGATTTTTTTTTTTTTTTTAAATTTATGTATTCTGAATAAATTATTATATTTCTCCTGCCGCATAGAAGATCTTTACCGGTGGCCGTTAAAAGTTTGGATGTGGGGTTTATATTGAAGAGCCGAAGAATGATTAAAGACATGCTGCCCACTGGGTGAACTTAATTTTCCAGATGAAAAACCGCCCCTTGTTTTGAAGTAACCGGGTTGAGCCCAAGCCCACGCAGGCCAAGCCCTTGTTTTAAAAACACCAGCGATAACTTTATACAAAACAAATAAGACACGTTTCTAAATTTTACTAAAAGGTGTGGATCTGGTGTTGGAAACATTACAATGGCTTGAAAATTTAGGTGGAACTCTAATTATGAAATTTAAAATTTAAAAAACAGTCATAAGCAACATTATGAAATTTATAATTTAAAAAACAGTCATAAGCAAAATTATAAATATTTAAAAATATTGAAAATAGAATGTTTAAATACCTTGTTATAAGATGCCTAAATTTTAGGATTTCAATTTTTTTTTTCTTTTATCTCCTTACATCTCAATGTCGAGATAATCAATTGGAAGGTTTTTTAACTTGGGAACACTCTTTTCGACTGTTGTGGGAAGGCCCTTGTTATCATTAGGAGCATACAGAAATAATAACAACAGTTGTGGCAAACATTCATTGGAAGCAAACCAAAATATTCACCTAAATGTTCTACTTGGAGTGAATCATTCCCTCTTTCTCTATACAATAGTACTCTTAGTTTGGAGAAAAAGAAGATTATTATAGGATGACTCTTCATCTGCCTTTAGTTTTTTTGGTGAAATAGAATATTTTTGAAAGAATGTGGTTTTTCTTTAGAAAATACCATTTAAGGGTTAAAGCCCTTACAAAAGAGTGAGATCTATACGTAATTACTGTGATTCTCATTTAACCGAAATCAAATTTGAATCAATAGAGATTGTGGCTTCATCAAATTACCATATGTCGAAAATAAGTCCTGAAAAATTTTTTTTTCCCCAATTTTTGACAGCTTTGGTGGCTTAAAATTTGCATAAAAGCAAAATTAAACTTAAATAGATTGAAAAGAATGGAACAATTCACCCAAAAGACAAAGGTTTTAATTTTCAAAAGATAAATCATGAACATCGAATAGAAAAATAAAGGGAAAATAGCTTAAGTGGTGTTTGCCGGGCCCACAAGCCCAAACACCCGGAATTGGGGCCAGGCTCAGACGGTGAGTCGTACTTCTCGTCAACCCTAAAGCTTACTTGAGCAAGAGAATTTATGCTTGAACTTGCAAGGGATTAAACCTTTGTTTGCCTAGGTTTTGGACTTGAACTCGAATGATAATTTTCTTGAAAATGAAATTTGGACTTCAACTCGAATGATAATTTTCTTGAAAATGAATTTAGTTTGTTGGTTTTAGGGTTTAATAGTTATTGAAGATACAAGGAACAAGGGGTAGAAGCCCAAGTTTTCTAGGGCTCAGAGGCTAGGGATCAAAGACTGAGAGGTCTAAAGATTCTAGGGTTTCAGCCTTTGCTCCCTATTTTAAATCCCATAATGACTTATTTAAAGACAAAAAGGCTTCACATCATTAGCGCCACGGTCCACATTGTTGTATTACGCCCTAAATTTTGTGGCATGCTCCAAGTTTCCTTTTTTTTTTGTGGTTTTCTGAACGACTCTTGCCATATATGGGGTCTGGGTAAGCCAACTTTAGAATTTTCTCTCCTCGTGGGTTTAAACCCTTACATTTTAAAGTGATAACTTGCTAAATTCTGTTGTTTTAGGGATTTTTTTAATATTTTGAAGATTTTCCTATGGTGTATGGACTATTAGTATAGTGTACTAGGGACCATTGTTTTGTTATGTTTTTAGGTTATAAGTATGTGGGAATTCCCTTAGCCAAAATAAGAGGGGGCTCGTTCTTCTTTGGTACTCGTGATGAATGGAATAGAAATAGACACCCAGAAACATGAAAAATTCGCTTCAATGCCTAACGTCAGATATTACAAAGGGGGCTGTTATCAAGACCAGTAAGACTTCAACTCGGCCCATCATTCGGGACAAGTTCCCCATCAGTCATGATGGTTCACCTTGGCCTTGGCGGTTAGGTTTCAATTGAACTAAGAAGGTGTGGTCAAAGGGTGCTGCTATTAGGACATGTAAGACTTTTAACTCATATTTAGAGGTCCTTTTAACTCTTTTTGAGGTCCCACACTAGTCTTTCCAGTTTGACTTGACCTTTTAACAGATATAGAAAAAGCGTTTGGATCAAATTTCTAGCTAATTGAAATTTGAAAGGGGTTCTACGGCTATGGGGCTAAAAAAGGGGATCTAATTGAAATCGGATGATGCCGTTCTCCTAAGGTTTGCTAGGGCTATGGGATAAAAAGTAGATTTTTTATTCGAAAGGGGTTCCATTTCGAGTTGCTCTGCTACCAATTTACAATTGATTAACTCTTCAGTTCAAGTGATCCTGGGTCGCTCTGCACCCAACTTACTCTTGATTAACTCTTCAGTTCAAGTAATCCTCTCGGACCTTAGATTTGGACTCTTTATTCAAGATGAGACACTTCATCATTTCAGGCAGCTGTCCAACTCCTAAAATTTAGAACATTTCAAAAATGGGAAGACTTTGGAATAGGAACTGGTGCCAGATTTTAAAAAGACAATTAAAATTTATAAAAGAACTTGACAGCACTTGAAAATCGAAGTCAGGACATACACGAGATGGAGGTTTGAAACTTGAAATTGAAAAGCTTGAAGAATAAACTTAAACTTGAAATTGAATTTCGAAAACTTGGACTTAAAGCGGTTAGCAGTTTTAGCCCGTATACCATGGAGCTTTCAAACTAAGCAGTTTAATTAGATGCAGCGATGGATGTATTCACTGAGCAATTTAACATCATGAGGAAATGGATGTAGTCAACCAAGTAGTTTAACATCAGTGGATGGATTTATTAGCTTAGTTTAACATCATGCAAAGGTGGACTTATTATTCACTCAATGAGTTTAATGTCATGCGGAGATGGACAAATACAAAATTAAAGAAAATTTTTAAAAGAGTTTTCAAAAGGAAGGTTTTAGAAAATATTTTGGAAATTTTAGGAAAAGGCAGGTTATTGGGCGATTTTCGGAGCTCGGTGCGCGTAATGTGCCTCAAGAAATCCTCAAACACCTTACCCTGCTTTAGTGATTAACCTTAAGCAGAACTTTTTGTTATTTCCGGGTAAAATAGTCCTAAGGCATTCAAGTAGAGAGAGAAAGAATTAGCCTACTTACTGGAATTGCAGAGAATTGTCTATTGAGAGAGACTAAAACATTGTTCTAAGTGTCCAAACTCGTATGGGTATGAAGGCCCTTGTCATAGAGCACCAAGAGGCATTTAGTATTATGGTGGTTACATGCACCACCCAACACCAAGAGGCATTTAGTATTATGGTGGTTACATGCAGCACCCAACAGCCCACACACGCTGACACTAAGTGGATAGCCTCAAGTTACATGCACTTGAAGGGGCAAATGCACTTGATGGTTGCTGTTACACGCCTCCATCTAATCAATGGCTAGATGACCGTTGGATGTCCCACACACATCAACGATTAGCTTAATGTTGGATCCCCCTATGAGCCATGCTCACAAGTTAATAACGGGCACATCAACAGCTAGCTGAGGCTAGCTGAATGTTGTATCCCCCTGTGAGTTGTGCTCACAAGTTGATAATGAGCCAAGAGCCCAACCCGCACACGTGCTCAAGAGGGGCACCTCGTGCGCCCGCATCAACGGCTAGTGCACCATCAAGCGCCCTTACACACCCACGTGCACACGCACACTTCACGTGCTCCGCACATGCGCCTTCTCTCTACTATGTACTTAAGAGTATGTTGCATGTGAATGCTTGCTCTTAAATACAGCTCAACAAACTCTCTCCTCTTCAATGCGGGACTCAAACCCATATCTTTCTCTCTCTTTCTCTCTACAAAGACATTTTAGGAAAGTACAATAAAACCAAAGTAGCTGTTTTGAAATACTCTTAAGCATTTTTCAAACAAAAAATACTAACAGTCTCCCTTTATTCCTTGTAACTCCAAACTGATAAACTACTTCCCAACAAAAATCAAACTTGTGCTAGCTTATTTAGCTAAGGTAAAGTGTTTGATGAGTCTCGGGATGCATCTCTACATATGCATCCCCTGAGGTATTTTAAAGATGGATGCAAATGGGTGGTTTATCCAAAAAAACTTGAAATTAACGGTCCAAATGTTTTCTTTATAAAACTATTATTTTTAATGTTTAAAATTTATTTATTTTTTCATATTCATGATCTCCATTTAAAATTGCGTCCAAAATCTATGTCAAAAATAGATTTTCAAGATATGACTCATCTCTACATGGACTCATAGAAACCGTGTCATTTAGTTAGGCATGAAGATATGAAGAATTTCTAAGTAATAGTGCACTTAACTAACAAGCGTCACTTCAAAATTTCCACCAAAAGATAAGGAAAAAAATAAAAAATACATCTGATATTCATACATTGCTACAAATATATGTGTGCACAACAACCAGTGGAATATATGAGCCGAGATAGTATAGAATGGGACCATTTACCTTTGATACAAGGTGGTCACATTAATCTTAAACATTGGATGTGAAATTGGGTAGCTGCAATTATTCCATTGACCAAGCTCAAACGTCAAAATAATTTTTTTCAAACTTTGTGATACATTCAAGCTATCAAATTTCACATCAAATGGTTGTAAGGAATTGTGACTACCTTGTATCTGTTGGTACGTGTGTGTGGCCATGGGGCCTTTAAACATGTAATATTTATCTCTCTTATAATTTAATACTTATCACTAAAAAATGGAGGCTTCTTAGAGAGAGAAAGTATCGTTATCTAACAACTAGAAAGTAACCACTCACTTCCCATGATTACAAAGCCACGTTTTCTCAAATATTTCAAGAAGAAGCCGAACGTTGGAGAACGACCCCCTCCATCTCTCTTTAAAAAGGGTTTCATTGCCATGAAGAGGTACACAGAAATTACAGAGTTCTCACAGTTCTGATAAAAGCCTGATCTTTACAATCGATGGTATCAAGACACTGCCCCTAATCCTAGGAGTGGGTCCATCTCTTCCCTCAACTTCTTTCAACAGTATCAAAGGTAAATGGTCTCATTATAGGGTGCAATTTGTATAGAGCCTATGCTCTGAACAATCAAATTAGAGCCTACCTTCAAAATAGTGTTGAGAAATGTAGTTTCACTACTGGAAATCTTTGTGATAGCCTCAAAACATATCTTCATATTTATTTATAAAGTTTAAAGATTTAAAAATAGTGTAGATCGACAGATCTATGAAAACTTGAAAATCTTGAAAATTGATTGTCTAAAAATGCGTTCCAAAATGTACTATTTCTAAAACTTGAAATCCAATTTTTTTTCATGTTCATTCATCTTGATGTCGAGATGATCAATTTGAAGATATTTAAGCATCAAAACGACATCTTCTAATGAAACTTTTGACGTAGGCGCATCAAAACGACATCTTCTAATGAAACTTTTGAGGTAGGCTCAAATAAAGCGTCGACTCTATATAAACTTTTCCCCTCGTTGCATTCAATCCCATATGACCCAGTTAAAAGAGAGCAAAACAACCACCATAGCAATTAAAAGGCAAAACTGATTGGAATTTCCGTAGCCTTCCGGATAAAATAAATGGAAAAGGAAAATGAAAAATACACAAATTGAGAGAGAAGAGAAGTTCATAAAACATAGAATATCTAGAACAGATGACCCCATTCCAGCACAAAGTACAAATCTTTGCAGAATCCGATAAATTGTTTTTTATATTTTCCAATAATATTTTGAAGGGTGTTTAGAAATTGTGAAAACACTTCAAAATAACCTAACAAACAATGCCCAAACTTCAGAACACAAATCCAAAATTGTGAAGGCCTAATTTCGTAAACCCAATAAGGCAAAAGCATGACTTTCTCATTTAGTTTTGAATTTTTTAAAGCTAAACTAAAATTTAAGTACTAATAAATTAAAAAAACTGACCATAGGTAGAAAGTGAGCCGGAATCTTAAAGAGAAAATAGCCGTAAATCCTAATTTTGATTTTGGTGGAGGCTAGGTGCATTGGAGAAAAATCCATCCAAAAATAAGAAAAAAAATAATCCAACAACCCATCAAAATGATTAAAATCTCCGTCGAAAAACTAAAAAACAAAACAAAAAACAAAACAAAAAAAAACAAAGAAAAAGAACTACCCATAGCCATGCAGATCAGATGGACAGTTGTTGACATGCCTTAAATAAAAGAAAAAATGTGTGGTTTGTAGAATGCTGAGGCCCTAAACCATTAAAGCAAGGTGCACTTTCAAATAGTATTGAAAGATGTTTCAATACTGAAAATATTGGCGATGCCTTCAAAAAAAAAACTTATCTCTAATTATAAAATTTAAAACTTCAAAATTAGTGTAGATTGAGTAGGTTTATAAACACTTGAAAATCTAGAAAATTGATTAAGAAAGCGTATTGTATGTTTATGTCTTGAAGTCTAGATGATTGATTTGAGGATTTTTGCACATCGAAACAACCTTTTTTAATGAATTTTTGAGGTGCACCTTAATTTGATTGTTCAAATCTCTCTTAAAAAAAAAATAGAAAAATAGTGAGATTTCCTACTTTTTCGTGTTGGAAATATTGGATATGGGCAATTCAAGAAGAAAAAAAAATAGAAACGTGAGACTGGGATTGCTCTCGGAGCAATATTTCAATGTTTCTAAATATAGTGCGTAGCAAGCAGCCCAAATACAGATCATAATTTCTCCGAATATTTTTCGTTATAACATAATCAAGACTCACGTTAATAATTTACTAAAAGAGGAATTCAATGGGGAAGACATGAGTGTTGTATGCGGGTTGGACCGCATTTCTACATTTGTGGTTCAGAAGTATAAAGCAACCATCTTAAAGATGGATGCAAATATGTGGTCCATTTAAAACCAATTGAAACTAATGGTCCAAATTTTTTCTTAATATAATTATTATTTTTAGTTTTAAAATTTTATTTATTTTTTCATGTTCATCATCTCCATGTTAGAAATTCGTATTCTTAACAATAAGGGTTATGTTAAGGTGTTCACACTATGGAATAATTTATCAATGTACTCAACAATTTTGGACACTAATATACTTTTGTTTTATATATGGAGTGTTTTTTAATAATGGTATTTTTAGTCATTTAGAGGGGTGTGACATTATCCACATAGACATACTAGTGGTATTTAATGTTCCATATAGTGATGTCATAGTCATGTGAATGATATCACATCTCTTCAAAAGACCAAAAATACTACTATAAAAAAAATTCTTCATGTACAAAACAAAAGAAGTGTTCAAAATTGTTGAATACAATGATAAATTACTTCTTAGTGTGAGCACCCTAACATAACCTTAAAACTAATTTCAAAAATTCATCTCAAAAATAGATTTATTAAAGGGCCCGCATTTTTACATGTGCGGGCTTGATTCGCATGCTAACTGTTTCAAATAGCTTAGGAATTAGTTTTTTAAAATATTAATCAATTGACGTCAATAGATAGTTTAAAAGTTAAAGTTTTTTTTTAAAATATTGGTGGGGTGATTATGAATAGGAATGAAAACCACAACAAAAAGTTAGTGGCCATTACAAGACGTGACAAACATCAAAAGTTGACACGTGAATCAAACTTATCCTTTCACATTTTAATATTAATTTCAAAATTTGATGACATGTGAAACTGAAAATTCATGCATTCAGCAGTTGGATGTTGCCGTCTTTCATTGTTCACTCGTGACTAACGTTCTTTTCGGTTTGCACAGCCCCAACACAGATATAAAAATCTGGAAAAAGTTTATATAACCATATACTCTGCAAGTAAGGTGCACCTAAAAAATTTTATAGATAAAGTTACTCATATGCTAGAAAACGCTCATATCGATCATCTCGACCTCGAGATTCATAGACATTTAAAAAAAAGGTTTATAATCCTAAAAATAGTTTACCTTTTAACACATTATCTGCATTATCTGCACCGTCTAATTTCAAGATTTTCAAGTATTTATTAATCTATTTGATCGTCACCGTTTTTTAAACTTTAAACTTGGGGCAACAATAGATTCTCATATCATCGCAATGCTTTGTGGCACTGAAACTGCATTTTCGGCACAATTTTGAAATGCACCTGACTTCAATAGTATAAGATTGACACCTCGTACAAACCTCAAACTAAGAATATAGAGCAAGGAAAACTAAAATAAAAAAGAAGAAAACCTTTAGAGAGAGAGAGATGCATGTCTTCACAGAAAAATACCACACACAAATGAAACTAGAAACCCAAAAACTTTACCAAGAGACAGAGAGAGATGATGGAAATGCATAACTTCAACAAAAATAAATAAGTCTTTGAACCCCAAAAATTTACCAACATCAAACACAGTCTTTATCCTTCTTAGTGGAAGTGATAATGTATTTTTGTTTTGGTTTTTTTTTTTTTCAAAAAAAAAAAAGAACAGCCTACAATTCTCTTTCCCTATACAAAACCCCATTGAAGAACCATCAGCCATCCCTCATCTTCTGCCAAACATTTCCGGCCACCCAACTCGGGTGATTCTCAGGTCTTGGGGGAGATTTTCCGGCGTTGCAGGTGGCGTAGAGAATTGAGGCGAAGAACACAGCGGAAAGGCAGGCGTAGGGAATTGAGGCGAAGAACACGGTGTCATATAAGGCGTCGCAGTAAAAGTGGAGGAAGAAGGAGATTCATCTTCCCCTGAAATGTAATTCAAGCAACCAAAACTCAATGAACTCTTTCTACTCTTTCCACCACGACCACCCTCCTCTGATTCACTCTCCTCTTTAATTGTGAACAGAAACCTTGGTGGAGCAGGCAATGAGAAGTCTACTTCGGTGGCCAGAAAATGTTTTTGGCCGGAATCTGACAACTGTTCTCTTAACCGGCCTGCAACGATGGGTTCGGGATCGTTGTTGTTGTTAGGGGTGCAGGCTTCGTTGAGAGAGAGTGTGGTGTTTTTGTTGGTGTTTCTATATTGGTAAAGAAGGTAGAAGAACTCGACGATTAGAGCAAGGAAGATGAGAATGGACACTATAGTGAGGCTCAGGCCCAGTTTGCTCATGGAGCTCATGGTCGATGCTGTTTTTTTTTGGAGATAGAAAGAGAGAAGTTGTATGAATTGATGGCAAAGAGAGTGATAAGCAATCGAGATGGCAAAGAGGGTGAAAAGCAATCTAGAGAGAGAGCCAAGTATGAGCACAAATTGAGTCTCTTAAGAGAGAGAGAGAAAGAGAGCCAAGTAAGAGCACAATTTTAGTATAAAGCTGATGAGAAGATGGTCCGGGATGAAAAATTACAAAAACCTCCCTTGACTAAACTTTCTTTACAACTTCCACCAACTAATATTTTATAGTAACTTGTACCTTAAAACATACTTTCCAAGCAAATACCCCAACTTAAAAAGTCATAGTTATTTGATCCAAAATACCATTATATGTGCACTTCCACATGTCGGTTTGGCCATAGTCTTTCTGTTTAGGTTGTCGGTCTAGCAATAGGAAAGACCGTCCAGCATGATGTGCATTCAGTCTGGCACTTCCAACTGCCGGTCCGGCATTGTACTCTCTGCTATGTGCATAAGGCCAAGCACAAGGAGCACTCAGTCCGACAACTATGCAATGGGGACCAATAGTAGTTTTACCTAAATCCAGCACAAGGTGACATCGATCCGACACTTTTTTACCTCCGTTCGTCACTTAACCTGCTGGAATGGATTGTGTGAGGGATTGGTCTTTTGAAATGGGTACGGGTCTGACAACTGTTTACTGCGGTCTGGCATATTTTTCACGCCGTTCGGCAGCTGCGTATTGGGGTGCGGCAGTTTTTTACCGCAATCTGGCAGTTAACCTTAATCATTGCACATCCTACATGGATGTGCCGTGAGCTTGTACGGACAAAAGCATTTTGTTCTAAATAACTATGATTTTTTTATTTGAGAGGTATTTATCAGAAAAATATGTTTTGGGGTAAAAAGTAAAAAGAGGTTGTCTAAAAAGTCCAAGTTGAGGGGAGGGGGACGAGTATTTCCAATTTTTCCATTTTTTTTTTTGAATTATGAGGATGCATGGATCAATGGTTGTGTCCGTACGTCTACTGGTAAATAACACCTACAGGAGCTGCCCACAATTTATCAAAGGTCGATAGAAAAGGTTTAAACTTGAAAAATAGTGTCAATGTTATTTTACAAACGTGAGACGCACTTTAAACATTTAGAAAAGGTTATTTTCACTTTAAAAAAACTCCTTAATTGATTATCTCGACCTGCAGAGAAAAAAAAGCGTTTCCATATTAAAATAAGGCATTTGATATGTATCTATCCAGACAATCAATTTTTGAGTAGGTCTACGCACGGGCCGGACCTGGCTCGGTTCTTGTCCCCATAGAAGTGAACCAAACTAGGTTTGGCCCTTATCCGGCCAAAGAGGCCCTGCCCAGGCCCAGCCCAAGCCCTGTCAAGACACGTAATAGGCCAAAAGATAAAACCAAGAAAAAAAAAAAGAGGGCCAAGTCTGCCCTAGCCTTAGCTGGGCTCGGCCTTTGGGCCACTTTTTGTGGCCCAAGCCCTACTATTTTTAGGACAAGGTTGACTAAGGCTAAGCAGGCCACCCAACCCATTGCCGGCCCTATTTTTAAGATTTGTAATTAGTTATAGATATGTTCGATATACATTATTTTTAAGCCTTAAATTTCATAAATAGAGGCAGAAATAAATTTTCAAGCTACTATAATAATATCTACCAGAACTTCAATTTCATCGAGGTTGTGTGAGTTGAGCACCGTGTATGAACCGCAGCCGAGGTTAATTTGAGTTTACATGTCCCCCGGTCTTGTGGGTTTTAGATATAGCATTAAATGGTGTATTAGAACTATTTTACTCTTTTCTAGAAAAAAAAAATATAATTGTACTCTACCGGGGGTTCATCGCTGACATCCCACTCAAAGATTTTCATCAACCTTGCATCTTCCCAATCCTCTCTCTTCTCTCTGTCCCTTTCTTTCTGTCTCGCTCTCTCCTATTTTCTTGTTAGGTGATGAGTTTCAAGATGTACTCGAAATCCATATGGTCAATCCCCTTCCATATTTGATAAAGTGAAACTTCTTATGTACTCTCACTAAATTGCCTCTCTGTATACAGGATACCCTTTCTTATATTTTTTTTCACTGTGAAAGACACTGCCTCTAAACAGAAGATTTTTCCATGTTCTTTTCATTTAAAAAATCTTTATCAAAACAAAAAAAATAAAAAACACAGGCTAAGCACTCCAACCTTATATGTATGTACCTGGCATGCTTCTATTTTTCCTTGGGGAAATGGGGGTGAAATCATTCAATTCTATCACCTTCTCTCTTTTCCACGTATTCCACACTCTTATTTCTCACATCCCCCCTTCCTCTTACTTTCTCCCTTATCTTTCACCCCTTCTCACCTCAGCCCACAACCGCAACCTCACACCCCCACCGAACCCCCAAAAAAAAAAACCATAAAAAGCACAAATAAAAGACTATCACACACACACACACACAATGGTACAAGGAAAAAGACATGAACAAATTAATATGTCTGCAAGCCTTCGATTGCCATGCACAAATGTACATCTCCACCACCGATTCTTTGGCACATAAGGAAAGCTTATGATAGATAGATCGATCGATCAAGCGCTAACGCAACTCTCCCAAGAGCCATATCGTGAGCTAAAACTGCCACCTCCACTCTGGTGTGCATACTCCGCCACCACCTTACGTGCACATGCATCCCATGTCCTTGCCATGTCACCTAATGACATGGGCTGAGAAAGGTCCCGAACTGATACACTGAACCTCGACTTGGCCTTGCTTGATAGATCTTCAAACTCCTTACTGTAAACAAATAACACCCCACATAGGTAGCCAACTATAGAGGGACAAATATCACCATTTTCTGTTCTTTTCTTTTCTCTTCTCTTCTTTTTCCGTTTTTTTAATATAAAATTGCTAAATGTATCACAAGATACTTATGTCTTAGAAAACAAAGATGTTCTCCATATTTTGAGATTTTTCTCAACACTCCTTTTAATATATATATGTGAGTTAAATAGGTAGCATGATGCATATACAAAGAATAAGTTCATATCAAATTTAATTTAAGACTATAATTTTAGTTGTTTATGTGACTTTTCATTCTCATCCCAGAGAGTTGGCATAATAACATAGATAATTTGCAAAAGTTATTTAACAAAAAAATGATAATATATGAGAAAGAGAAACGATGTCCCAGTGAGGAAAAAAAATGTCTCTAGAATCATTCATGTAAATGCATTTTATTTGTTTGCATCTTGAAACCATCCATCAAACCAAAAACAATGAAACATCAAGTGACGAGTATTATATGTACCATGTTTCAACTGGTAACTTGTCAAGAAGAATGGGAGAACACTTGGGATAATTTGCTGGAACAAGCAACCGCAATGGTAGGATTGGTGACTGCAAAACCAACAAATAGTGAAGGAATTAATAGTAACATAAATTCGTGTTCTGTTAAGAAGCACATGCTTTATGATGTGAATTACAGAAGGTGTGGTTTGTTTTTTGAAGACTACCACTTGTGCGGCCGCATATTGGGATTTCATGCTAGGGCTCAGAGCTACAGCATTGAAGGAGCATCTAACCACTGTCCCTTCTCTGCCCTCAGCTGCAGCTGCTGCTGAATCTGTGTCCTCGTCGCTTATATCTAAAACAGTGTCAATCAACCTCTGATTTATCTCTTTGATCTCTTCCAACAGAGACTGGTTTACCTGCAAAAGAACACAGGATTATATGTATTAAAACCTTAAACTTTCTCATTTTCTTTAAGAATAAAATCTTTTTCTTTCTATTTTAGGGTCACAATAACTGGAAGAAATTGCAAAATCAAAATCTTAACCTCTCTGATGCAGGATTAATTGCTAGGCTTGCTACTATTTACTAGTGCACATAATTCACTGAAACATAGGAGCAAGTCATTTAAAATTTAATCATTAAATACACATAGCTAAGTGCATAATAACAAACAGTGTTAGTAAACTCACCACTTGATCTTGGAACTTGGCAAGGCCTGAGTATGAGTCAGTAGTTCAGACTAAGCGAGCCCAAGTTCAAATAGGCTGAGTTTCAAAAAATGAAACAAAGGGACCTCGGGAACTAATAAAAAGCTTTGAACAATGCCAATGATTACTAGCAGAAAAGAAAAAGAAATAAGCCATTCTTCCTTGAGGGAATGTATTGTGTAGAAAACTGTCTCACAATTAAACTGTCAGTTACTTTTAGATTGGGTTATTTGTATTACTTTTTAAGTTTGTTGACAATTAATAAACAGGGTTGGCTACTGTCCCTCATGATTTATATATTTGTAATGATAAAATAGGGCATTTCTCCAATTCCAGATACTGCTGACAATAGCTGTACTGTGGGACAGTATTGTCCACTTTTACATTCTTTGGCATTTAAGTACTGGATTAGGGACATTTCGAGTCCTTTCCTAGGTTGTTTTACTTGACTATGCATAAAAGAGCAGCCCAAGTGCTTAAAGATGGCTAGGCCCTTTAATCAAGATATCAAATGATTATCTCCCAAACTAGTCTTGCATACATATGTCATAACTTAACATTAGAGCTGACTATATGAAACTCATTAGAGCTAGAGGGGTTTGCATCGCAATTTAATATCCATATGATTACGTTTGGATTCCAAGAAAACTCTTAATATTCAATATTCATTGGGAATGCATATTATAATTCAACCTAATACCAAAAATCACAGTCTGTTGGGGTCATTAATATCTGAAGTAATAATGGACAGTGATGAAAGGGAGTAGCACCCAACCCAACAGGACATTACCATACCCAGGATCCCCCTTTCCATTACCATGCACCACTGGATCAGACAATGGTGATCCAATGTACTTCAGGTTTCCACACTCCACTGGGTTATAGTATAATCTCCTTGCTTGTTTCCGTAGGTGATATTTATGTTATGCAATGCACACCTGGATCATTAACTCCCACAAATGAAAACTAAAATTAGTTCCATACCTCTACTTTGGGCTTCTTAATTCTAGAAGTTGCAGTCGACTCTATTTCAGAGGATTCCACACAATTCAGTTCTCGAAAACTATTGTTCACACTTCCAGCTGATGATACTGTGTTCAAGGGCATAGAACTCATGCTCCTCCTCATTCGCTTAGCTGCTGCACTTCCATCTTGAGACATCAAGCTCCTTGCTTGAAGACGGCATTTTGTCACAGCCACCAAGTCCTCACCAATAGCTGCCCTAGAGCCATTGCCTGGGGCCGATCCCGCCATTCGATCAATCAATCCCACAACCGAGCCAATATCACTTATAGATGAGCTAAAAGCTTTTGCTGACATTGATGATACCTGAAAAGGTGGTGCAATTTTGTGAGGATCGACTATTGATCACTTATACCTATTAAAATTGCACAATCCCATGAACTTTAAAGAAGGCGGGGCAACATATTTGTGATGAAAGTTAACCATTAGTGTATATTTTCTTAACCAACAAATGCGATCACCCTTGTTCTCTGAGATATACATAGAAACCATTATACAAATGATGAAATAAGAAACCATCAATAAGTCAACGCAGCTTACTCAAGCCACAAGCCTAGGCACCCAACCAATGTCTAAGAGACTAAGACACAAAAATAAGGAATAGAGATCGAGCAAAAGAAAATGAACAGCAGAATACAATGCAAGCATTTGGTATCTTAGTGTTCCTTCTGCAGTGGATGGTTCTCATAAGCAGACATTGATTGAAAAAAAGGAGCAGGATTTTTAGAGCAGCAGTGTCATTTTTATGAAAAAATAGAAGGGAAGGTTAACATGGTCCGTTTTTGGGATAAAATTCAAGGTTGCAAACCCTTGACATTTCCCTCAAATAACCCAGATACCTTAACCACCACACCACAGAAATTATAGCGACTAGAAACCAAAGTATCAGTTTTAGCAACTAGAACTTTTTCTTCCATTTCTGATTGATAGCCTTAGCGCCAACACTAATCATGTGATTTATATTTATTTTCTTTCATGAGATTTAGCCATAGCTACGTATTTTCCCCTTCTATAAAGATGCATAGATGCATAAGAAGACCAACCGCTATAGTGACCAAAAAAAGCTACAAGCTTGCAACTATAGTTTTTCCCAATATGATCAGCAGTGATGAAAAATTGCCGGACCAAGCTGATGTGGGCTTCCTCAGGTCAGCTCAGATTGGGACCCTGGTGATTCTGGAGGCAACATAGGCTCCCTGAGTGTCACCTTTTTCTAGTTGCTTTTTTAATCTTTTTAACAGACTCGGCCAAGTCCTGTTCCAAGTCGGAGTTGGCTTGGGATTGGAACTCCAGTAAGTTATCCCAACTCAAGCCTGATTCCTCAACACTGGTAAGGAGACACATCCAGAGGAAGTATGCTACGCTTACACCATATTTGCATTTTCAGCACTTTTAGTAAGGCTTTCACTTCCACCATATCCAATTTTCAAGGGACCTACTTCAATTCAATGAGGACAGGATCAATGCATTCAAAAATATGCTTAACATCAAAATAAAAACCATCAAACCACTGTCACAACCTCATGCAGATACAGTTTAAATAAATACATAGATGGAATTATTTATCCATCAGAAATTAACAGAAGAAAGCAGACTAAAGAAACCATTAAAAAAATTTGTGCCTCGTTAAAACTCTCCATGCAATCCAGCTAAACCTTTTTTCTACATTAATTAAGAACAGCGCGAGTGATCATATATCCATTGCCTCTCTTCTAATAGTTAGTCTGCTCCCTTGACTTTTCTTAAATATCTCTTGTTTGTCTGCACCTTAGCACAAGAAGATGTCTAATTTCTCGTACTCAGTAAACCGCAAACTATTTAAGGAAGAAAGAGTGATGAGCTTGAAACTGGAAATGAGATCAAAATTCTTCCATCAATAAACAGCATTGCATAAGAGCCATTATCCAAGTCCATTCAAAATACCCAATCTCTCTCTACCCAGGAACATTGGCTTGACATTTGGCTAAGTGGTTTCAAATGAAGAAGTTTATAAGGTAGGGACTAAATGTTTCTTTTTCTGGTTATTTGTGAGGAAAGAAAGAAAAAGAAAAAGAAAAATGACATAACAGATACACTCAAGAGAAACAAAATCCACATGTAGGCTATAACATATAACAATCAGAGAGTAAACCATCAAGTAAATTATTTGAAAAAGGTGAAAGGAACAGTCTAAGGACACAAAAAAACTACTCACCACTTTCATCAAGCGCTCCAAGGGTCGCTCAGTACACTTGTCACCTTGGAGTAAAGCAGGCACATTACCCTGATTCCCATCCAGACTAGCAAACTCAGCCAATAAGGGAGATGCTGAGATCCCTGGTGTACCAATTGCCATTGATTGGGCCACCTGATTCAATGGAATAACTGTCTGTAGTTGATTCCCTATATTTGTAGAGTTTGAAACAGTCGTGACACCAGAAGACTGCTGCTTCTCAGAGTCAGCCGGTAAAGGCGAGGGGGCCAGAGGAGTTGACGGTGAAGGAACAACAAAAGGTGAGCTAGCAGTTTGAAGAGGAGTCCCCGCCTTTGGAAGAGAGGGAGCCAACAAATTTTGCTGGTCTATTTGGGGCGATGAGTGCTGAGATATTTGCGGTGACAAGGCTTGGAGAAGTTGAGGGGAAGAGGCCGGAAAGGGCGAACCAGGCTTCAGCTGTTGATGATGGTAAGTTTGACGTTGCCCCCCCAATTGGTGGTGTTGCTGAAACATTGGCTTGACGCCCAAAGTAGGGTTCACCTTCATCTCATTGTTGGCATCGTTCATTTGGTGAATTTGAGGGATTTGATGACCCTGCAAATGAGAAGTTGCTTGTTGTTGCTTCTGCATCTGCTGATGCTGAAACTGTTGTTGTTGTTGTTGATGATGCAGTTGAGGCTGCTGCTGCTGCTGTTGTTGCATTAACTGTTGTTTATGCTGGATAAGTTGCTGATGAATGTGTCTTTGCTGCAACTGCAGCTTCAGTGTGCTCAAGTTTTGAGGGGGATTTCCTGAAGAATTTTGAGAAAGAGGGCCAACCCCAACTCCACTTGGCTGAAGAGAACTCATTGCACCTTGCTGCAATTGATTTAAACTGTTCCCTTGTGCCGAGTCCAAAGTCGAAACACCAGGCTGAATTGCATTCCTCATGTTGGGTTGTGTGGACATCATGGGGAGAGACCCATGTTGTTGGGTGCTCATACTAGACTGTTGCATTGAGGGCATGGAACCCTGCATGTTTACCTGTTGTATTGGGTTCACATGGTTTTCGTGTTGTTGTTGTTGATGAATTTGAGGAATCTGAGGTTGTGGTTGTAGCTGTTGCATGGGTTGTGTCTGGCCGCCACTTTGCTGTTGAAGCTGTTGCTGCTGAACCTGCATTTGTTGAGCGGTGGGTTTCTTCTGCTTGAATAAAGCAAGTATATTGAGGATTTGTTTCTCAAAGGCTGGGAGCTTCTCCCTGAAACTCGATGAGAGACTGCTTTTAGGGGCCTGAAAATAAGCTATTATGCGTTCAAGGAGGTTTTTGTAATGGCGGAGCTTCTCCATTTGATCAGAATGCAATGGAGGCTGCACAAGAGTATCTTGCTGCCAAATACAATGGCACAGAAAGAGGAGCCTCATTAGGTGTATAACCATTACGAAAAATGTTAGATATTATGAAAGTTATAAAAGCACCTACAAATATCAATCAACCTTTTAAGTTGGATGATAATAATTAAAGAGGAAGAAAAGGCACCTGCTGGCATTTTGTGACCAGCTTTTGAAAAAGTTCATTAAGTTCTGCATAGTACATCTCCTTCAAGCTTTTAATCTGAAAAGTACCAACAACTATTAAACATGCCTGCAATGAAAAGCTCGAACAGATAAACAGGAAATCATTGGTGACTTGCAAAACAGTCGGGCACTTGTGCACATTCCAAAGAAAATATTCTAAGAAAACAAGGTTTCTGTTTGGGTTATAGCATATGACTAGTATAGAGGCACTCTTTATAGTGTAAGAGTGATTTCTGATGAATCAGCAGTAGAACTTCCCCAAAGGCCATATGTATAACATTGAAAATACAAATTGCAAAACACGTCTCACAGAATGAATTTTGACTAAACCAATACAATCCATCCCATGCAAAGTAATTGCATGCTTGAACAAAACTTTTAATTACTTTAGTTGAAAAGAAAAATTTCTATAAACCCTTCAAACCTAATAACCTCAATGCATTTATGTACGCCCACCCTCAGAGGGAGTGGAGCCCCTCAGATGTTTAGGAGAGACATGATCTCCCAGTCAACACATAAAACATTTCTCTCATGTGATTAAGTGTGGGAATATTGTTACATCAATTAGTTGCCAATTGGTGTGAGAAGATGCACTAAGACTAATCGCTATGAAAATATTATCACACTTAACCACATGAGCGAATTTTTCATGTAAAAATATTTTTTAGAAATTATTTTCTTGGGATTTCCTTGTGAAGTCATAACTCTCTCATCTTGGGGCCAATCAAACTCAAATTTCAGTATGTTGTAGAGCTCATCAAGCCGCACGTTTTGGTACATGACACGGCCCTTGCCAATGCCCGAAACGAGAGAATTTTTAGAGAGAAGTTGAACTTGAAAACTCATGTATTACAAAATTTTTAAAGAGGAACATCCATTCATTCAAATGGTCATATCTTCAGGCCCCAACATCAGATCACCTCAAATGCAGGTCCGTTGCGACCGCAATTCAGAGAGCTTTGATTTAAGGTACATGATGTGTTATACGTACACAAACACAGATGTGATATGTCCTTATAGTTTAAAGAAAAAAATAAAGGACAAGATCAAGACAAATTACTCTATAGGTCGTAACATGTTACCTTCTGATAGACCTCCTCTTGCCAATCTATTGCAGTTGATTGACCAGTCTGCGCTGTGGAATCCATGGATGCTGAAGAAGATGGTAAAGTCTCAGACAAAAGCTAACCAATGCAGGGGGCTCATAGAGAATGGGTACATGACATAGCATTTCAATAAGTAAGATAATTCAGGTATCAAATTAAACAAAGCATTAAATTTGAGAATTAACAAGATCATATAAACATAACAGAACTTGCATCAGCAAAGAACATTCTCTTTATTTTACATCAAACAAAGCTTCAGCATGGTCAACAAATAGATGATTTCAAAACATGGAACTGTACACACAAACATCACTTTCACATATAGGCATGAGCTCATATGCTGGAAGTACACATGTATCATGTATGCATGCATTTTTGGAGAGTATATATAGAGTGCAAATTAATAGAGATACATACACATGTACATCCATAAATGTATGCATGCATGCATTAATGTCTGTTTCACACATTCACAAGAACACACTCAAACTCAACCAACAAACAAGGACAATGAGGACAATTTGAAAGCCATATACATCTCTCAACCAGAAAAGAAAATACCCAAGGATGTATAACATTCTCATTGATTACATCATAGAACCTTGAATATGAATCAATGAGAATCCAAAAAGGCATAGAATATTCAACTAATATTTAAGGGAGAATAATCCTCACTTCATAGACTAGGGTCGAAACACAACATAACATGTAGCCACCCATTCTCACTGACACCAACAAAACAAAGATGCAATTTCTATAAGTCAATCTACAATATAAGAGACAGCAACGCCTTTTCAACAGTAAGTGTGATAATCCTTCTAAAAAAATGAAGCGCTGAACACCATACCCTTAAAGCTCTTACAATTGAATCCCAAGCCATGCATATCAATCCGAAAAGAAGGGGGAAAAATACTTACCACCCCCTCATTGTATTTTTCTAACCAATAAAACCCTCAAGTCCATGATTGCCTGTGGACCCCCACAGAGTTTGCAAACTAGGACAGCAAACCTCCTTTCTTTTTTTACCTGTCCAAATTACATTGCCAACCCTACTATTTTAGAAAATGCCCCCTTTCCTATTTAACCAGAGAAACTCTCTCTTCTGCCTATAAACCTCTGTCTCCCCAAGTTTCGGCGATGAAACCTCTCTCTCTCTCTCTCTCTCTCTCTCTCTCTCTCTCTCTCCTCCACCTACTACTACGTCCTTCTTCCTACCTAACGTAACTACTAAGTACTTACGTTCGTTCGTACCGTTCGTAGTACTAACGTAAACGTAACTAC